GAGTCTTTTCAACAAATGGTGCTAGAACAACTGGACATCCACATGTAAAAAAAAAGAGTATCTAGACACAGACATTACACCTTTCACAAATATGAACTCAAAATGAATCATAGGGATAAATGTAAAACGCAAAACTTATATTCCTATAAGATAAGAGAAAAACTAGGTGACCTAGGTTTTGGCAATGACTTTTAAACAAAATACAAAAGGCATGATCCACGAAAGAAAGAACTGATAAGCTGCACTTGGTTAAAATTAAAAACTTTTGCTCTGTGAAAGACAATGTGAGGAGAATGAGAAGATATGCTACATACTGGGAGAAAATGTTTGCAGAAAATATTCTGACAAAAGACTTATCCAAAATATATAAAGAACTCTTAAAATTAAACAATAAGAAAACAAACAGCCTGATTAAAAAGTGGGCCAAAGACTTTAACAGACACCTCACCAAAGAAGATACAAAAAAGATACACAGATACAAATAAGCACTTGAAAAGATGCTCACCATATGTCAACAGGAAAATGCAAATTTAAAAAAGAAACCTATTAGAGGGATAGAACCTACTACACACCTATTAGAACAGCCCAAAATCCAGAAAACTGACACCACCAAGTGCTGGTGAGGATGTAGAGCAACAGGAACTCTCATCCACTGCTGGTGGAATCCCAAAGTGATGCAGCAACTTTGAAAAAATTTGGCAGTTTCCTATAAAACTAAGAATACTCTTACCACCACCTGTGCTCCTTGGTATTTACTGACCCAAAGGAGTGGAAAATTTATGTTCACACAAAAACCTACACATGGGTGGTTTTCCATAATTGCCAAAACTTGGAAGCAATCAAGATGTCCTTCCATAGGTGAATGGATAAAGTAAACTGTCATACAGAAAATGGAATATTATTCAGTGATAAAAAGAAATGAGTTATCAAGCCCTGAAGAAACATGGAGAAACTTTAAATGCATATTACTAAGTGAAAAAAAGCCAATATGAAAGACTACATACTGTCTAATTCCAACTATATAACATTTAGGAAAAGACAAAACTATGGAAACAGTATAAAGGCCAGTAGTTGCCATGGGTTTGGGGAGAAAAAACTTGGCAGACACCTCCTTAACCAAGTGATCAACATGAACACTCCCCCAATGGAACAAGCTGACACCATGTGCCTCTTGACATAAAGTACTGAAGACGACACAATGTCATAACTGTGGTATAGTCCTACAAAAAGTGAGCAACCTGAATCTAATCACAAAGAAACATCAAACAAACCTCGATTGAGGGACATTTTAAAAGGAATTGACTTATATTCTTCAAATATGTCAAATTCATGACAGACAAAGAAAAGCTGAGGAACTATTACAGATCAAAGATGACTTAGGACAGCCCTGGCCCATTCGCTCAGTGGTTAGAGCGTCCGTAATCCACCCATGGACTGGTGGGTCCCATGTTCGATTCTAGCCAAGGGCACATAACCTCAGTTGCAGGTTGGATCCCCGGGCCCAGTCAGGGCACGTGCTGGAGGCAACCAATCAATGTGTGTATCTGTATCCGCCCCCCCTCCCTTTCTCTCCCTTCCACTCCATAAAAAGCAATGAAAAAAATATCCTTGGGCGATGATTAAAAAAAAAAAATTATTTAACTAAATACAATGTACTAAAACTAGCTATAAAGGGTATTACTGAGACAACTGACAAAACTTGAATATGGACTGTAGCTCCAATAATAATATTGTATTGATATTTAATTTCTTGATTCTGAAAACCACTATAAAATTTTGTAAGACACTGTATAAGAACCACAGATTTCAAAATTCTTGATCACATATAAACCTACAGGGAAGTATTCAGAGGTAAATGGGCATAATATCTCCAATTGCTCTCAAATGGTTCAGGGAAAAAGAATGTGTTTAAAAATACACATAAACATATACAAATGTGTGTGTGTGTCGGGCAAAGAAAAATAAATGATACAAAATGTTAATATTGGTGAATCTTGGTAAAGGGCATACATATATGGCAATTCTTTGAACTACTCTTGAAGTATTTCTGTATGTTTAAAATTACATCAAAATAAAAAAGATACCAAAAAAAAGCAAATTACAAAAAATTATATATAAGGATTGATACTGGTCATTTAACACAGCCTCATTTAACATATCGTTTCTAAATGATCAAATATATTTGATACAAAATACACAACATTATTTACAAGGTCTACTTGCTATTCATCTATCTTAAAAGACAAACCTTTTTTTTTAAAAGGCCATCAACTTAATACAGAGTGGGGCAAGTGGGTTTACAGTGGTTCATATGGAAAATAATACAATAAATTAATAAATAATAATACAAAAATAAACTGTTTTGTGTACTCACAACAGTAAACCTACCTTTGCCTCACCCTGTATATATTAACTAAGTTAAATTTGATCATTAGACCCTCTTCAAGGTACAAAGCTAAATAATTATTCCATTCTCCCTCCCACTGACTGAACAGATCTCCGAATAATTGCTAAAATTAGAAATTATGTCAGAATTGGGATTTTTGAAACTAATTTTCTTAATTTGCCCTGAAAATGTAACTTAGTTTAATTCCACTGCCACATTCCTTCTCCTACACTTAAAGCTAATTAACCCACTTAGGAAGAACTCTACTCAGCTGTGGTTCAGCAACCCAGCAAATGGCTGCTACACAATAACACAGTCACATAAGAACTCACCGTAAGCAAAGAAGAATAATATTTCAAGTCAAGATGTACAGCTACTTCTCTTCAAACAAGGAGTCACTTCCTTTAGCAACATTGTTACCCTGCTTATCATTTTTAGAGGGCAGGTTTTCCAAAGCTTTATCTAAATACTTTATAAAAATACCTTATCTCTTTAGACAAACTGTTTTCAAACCCAGAGCACTGTTTCCATTTACAAAATAGTCACACTTCAGCCAACTACAATTTCCCTTAAAACAGACTTTAAATTTGACTACAATATATGCAGTGTGACTTTTGTTGATTTTCCCTACATATGTAATTAATGTTTTGATAGCTCCATATAGTCTGTTACTTTGTAAATCTGCCTCAAACTTTTTCAACATTTTTTTTTATGTTTTCTTATTGATTTCAGAGAGAGGAAAGGAGAGAGAGAGAGAGAGAGAGAGAGAGAGAGAGAGAGAGAGAGAGAGAGAGAGAGAGAGAAACATCAATGACAAAGATCGGTTGCCTCCTGCATGCTCCCTATTGGGGATGGAGCCTGCAACCAGGGCATGCACCCTGAATGAGAATCGAACCATGATATCCATGTTCATGGGTCAATGCTCAGCCTCTGAGCCACGCAGGCCGGGCTCAAAAAATAAATAAATAATAAAGATATAATATTGATTGCTAGGAGAAAGATGATTAGAGATTAGGGATAAAAGAAGGAAGTTATAAACCTCCTGTAAACTGCCCACAGAGCAGCAGCTCACCATAACTGTCTTTGGGGGAGGATTGATTAAAGACATCTAGAACAGATTAAACTTGCTGTAATTTCCTGTACCACAGGATGTACGTCAGATCAAGAAAGAAGAGCATTTATAGGTAGCTAGCTGGTGAACTTTATTCAAGGAGACTATTAGGAGCTCAACAAATACTGGCTTACTCCATAGTGTTTTAAATGTATTGTTTAATTTAATCCACTTAATCCATATCCTCATTTTACATTTGGAAAAACTGAGTCTCAGAGAGGTTAAGTTGAGATTTAACTTAGTTCAGCTGAGACTGATCTTAGATATGTCTGATTCAATGTGACACAAATGGAAGACACTGTACAGCATGGCATTCAATCTATCAATGGGCAGCAAATGTTCCAGAAGAGCAAATTGTAAACTTTAAACTAAGGAGCTGCTCTCCAAAATACAAACTTCCCCACTTCAGTAACTGATTTAAAAAGCAGATATTTAGCCGTAGCTGGTTTTGCTCAGTGGTTAGAGCATCGGTCCGTGGACTGAAGGGTCCCGTGTTCAATTCCAGCCAAGGGCACATACCTCGGTTGCAGGCTCTATCCCAGGCCCAGGTCCGGGTTGGGGCACCTATGGAAGGCAGCCAATCAATGTTTCTCTCTCGATCTCTGTCTCTCTCTCTCCCTCCGTCCTTCCTTCCCTTCCACTCTCCTTGAAAAGCGGAAAAAATACCCTCAGGTGAGGACTTTAAAAAAAAAAAAGGCAGATATTTATAGCTGTAATCTAACCCATTTCAATTGCTTTTGTATTACTAATAAATAATTAGCTAGAAATAAAATTTTCATATTATTCTCTTGAAAAAGATGTTCAAACAATAAACATAACTACCTTATTATTTACCCTTGAACAGTATCACCACCAAAAAATCAAGTTAGAGCCCTGGCCAGGTGGCTCAGTCGGTTGAAGCATCCTCCCATACACTGAAAGCTGGCTGGTTCAATTCCAGGTCAGGGCACATACTAAGCTTTGGTTCAATCTCCAGTCAGGGTGCATATGGAAGGCAACTGATCGATGTTTGTTTCTTGTTTCTCTCTCTCTCTCTCTCTCTCTCTCTCTCTCTCTTTCTCTGTGTCTATCCCCTTCCTGTCTCTAAACATACCCTCTGGTGAGGATTTAAAAAAAAAAATCAAGTTACAGAACGCCAAATTAGCCTTAAGGAAAGACAATAAAAAAATCCAAGTCATTACATTCTACAAGGAGAAAACAATTCAGATGCTTGATAGAAATGCACTTCCCATCTTTCTCCTTTTCCTGCCTAAGACTTACTGCCCTTCCTTTAGGGAGCAAGAGTCCCAACATCCAGTAAAATTTTCCATTTAATCAATCTTCTATAAAGTTGCAAATGTAATTTTAAATTCTCTAAGCAGTCCATTGCACTGTGTATTATAAAATAAAAGAAATTAAATTCCACTTCTAAAAAACATTTATCTTCTTTCAACAAGTTTTACAAACTACAGAGACAAGGTACTTTCAACCATAATTGTCACCTATTCAGTTGTTAAAGGATATAATTTGGAGGAAGAAAGTTCCAGCTCAAGACCTGATTGGCGAGTGAGAGGTAGCGCTGAAACACTGAGGACATCTGAGCACTGAGGTTTTCCCGCCTGCTGAACTCCTGCAGAACTTCCACGGTTAACACGAATATCTGACGGAGGTCTTCTTCCTGCAGTAATTAAGTCACAAGTATTTTTCTGTCAAAAGCTTATTCAAAATGCATTCCCCTTCAGAACCATAAAAGAAAACAAACAAAAACCTTAACATTTCCAATGGAAAACACTATTTCTTTAGGAACATTTTCCATTTTCAGGCCTGCTCATATTTTCACCACAGTGAGCTTTCAAGTGACACCAATTTGAACACATTTACTGTGACAAAAATGCTACTTTGTGGAGAGGTGAGTCTGACAACTAAACAGAGCTGGAGGGGTCAGTTGCTCTGGTGCAGGGCCCTTGGATTTAAGCCAGTGTCTTCACATAACTTTACTTCAGAGCCAAACAATACACACAAGACAAAGAGCCCACACCATCTGCAATAACATTTTAAATACACAGCCCTCGTGGGCATTCTGCCAGGCCTATTTTTAAGGCCAGGAGAGTTCACCAATTGAAGCACTGATATCTAAATACAAAAAGAACAAAATAAACTAAGAATCTTTAGAGTAGTATTTGGTTTGTTTAAAGACTAGAATTAAACAAGTGATCTTAAATTGTCAACTACAGCCCGGCCAGGTATGGCTCAGCGGTTGAGCGTTGACCTAGGATCCAGGCAATCGGGGTTCGATTCCCAGTCAAATCACATGCCCGGGTTGCGGGCTCAATCCCCAGTCGGGGGTGTGCAGGAGGCAGCCGACCAATGACTCTCTCATCATTGATGTTTCTATCTTTCTATCCCTCTCCTTTCCTCTCTCTGAAATCAATAAAGATATATTTAAAAAATAAAATTGTCAACTATATTAGCCAAACCTATCACTTTATGATATTCTAGGAAATCATAGGACAAACCTTCAGGCTGTCATTCAACCAGATAAAATAAATGTCCGCACTGCATTGGGAACAGATTGCATAAAAAGTGAATAATCTGATCATTAAAACATAAGAACAAAAATGGCAATACCTGAAACACTCTTTTGCAGTTACCATGAAATTCCATACTCAGTCCAATATTGCTAGTTTTACTTGAACTTGAGAATTCACTCAATAGTGCAGTCAGAATAGAACAGGCCAGAGTTTGCTATAATTATTGGATAAGAAATAATTGAGAGGCATTATTTTTCTAATACTTTGTTTCAATACCACATTTGTTCAAACATAATAAAACATTTTCTCTCTATCTTAGGTCTTCCATTATATCTTTAGATTTTATACCTACCAAACAGAAAATCAGATAGGACAAAATAATGATTGGCTCTCCTTCCGAAGTGGCCTAGTAATTGTTAGTAGTCCTTCCTCAACTCCAGTTACCCAAATCCATCCAAGACTTGAACTCAGGACATACTCCTAAGTAGATCACGAAGTGCAAGTGGTATTTTAAGATAAACAGTGTTGAATGTATTATCTCATTTAATTCACACAACAATCCATACCCCATCTTACATTTGAAAGTGAAATTCAGAGAGACGTAAGAAATGAAGGTCAACTGATATTGGGTCCAGGTCTGTATATGCTCAAATGACTATAAAGTGTATTTCCAAACAAATGAAAAAGGGAAAGTGCATAGTCTCCCAAGTATTAACCAGGTAGTATTCAAAAGTTTTTAAAATTGAAAATGAAGATTTTCCTTCTTGATGGCTCTTATCCAACAGGCTTCTAATATCAATTCACCATTTTTATTCACAGATTAGAGTCAAGGTGCCATGGATGGAGAGGATACAAATTATTTTGGCACATTTCCAGGGGTTAAACAAAAATATGTTCACTTCCTCTGAACAACCAAAGATTAAAGTCAAGATGATACTATTTATGCATGCTAACACAACAGCTGAATAGTCATCCCACCCACCAACTGCCACATCTTTGTTCAGAAATGCTTCTGATGTGGGTACCTTGACCTTACAGATGCTTATCTTGGCAAATCTTAGCAAATACACATAAAATTAAATTCCCCAAGATAGCCATGAGTTGGTATTTGTTGAAGCTGAATAATGGTTCCATGGATGACCAATATACTATTTTGTCTATTTTTGCATGTCTAAAATTTTCCTCTAAAAAATGTAAAAAGAATTAAATTCCTATTTGCCTCTTAATCTCAACTAAAATAAGCATGATGTATAATTGATATTTATAGATGGCATACTAGCTCATACATTACAGCAGTTTCTCACACTTTTCCACACCAGGAAGCCCTAACCACAGAGAACACATGCAAATTTCCACAGAACCTGGGGGATAGACCAAACTGCTTTCAAAAAGGATGAAGTACTCTGAAACCACTTAAACACACACACACTTTGTAATTTTACCTCAAAATATACATTTGTTTAAATATAAAAATGTCCCTTCCTCCCCAAATCGGCAAGAGAGGTTAACTGTCTTTGCCTGGCCCCAGGCATACGGTTTAAGAAACCAGGCACTAAGGAGCCTCTTACAGAGAAAACAGTTCACTGCACAGTCATTTCATTTTCCAGTTTAAAGGGATCTTAAAAACTCATCAAGTACAATCCCTTCATTTTTTTCAGTTAACAAAATTGGAGCTAAAAATGAGTTTCTTTTAAAATGGTATATTAATGATTAACGTGCCAGCAATCAAAATTTCACAGATACATTTAAATAATGTTGAGATCAACAATGAACCTAGATTTTAAATACAGCTAGGCTTTGGTGGGGAGAATAGGTATTAAGTTCAAACTAATGAAATGCAAAGGGAAAAGTAAACTCATAAGGATCTAACACAATGTATTACAAAATCCTATGGTTCTGAAAATAATTTTTAATATCCATATTTTTATGTCTTTTAGCCTTAGCTTTCCTCCTATCCTTTCTATATAATATTGCATTGAATAGAACATTATGAACCCAGCAGTACTCATTAAACACAAACTTCTTACAAATAAATTATCTATATTATTTTTGCACAAGCAATTTACAACTTGCCACAAATTACTTTTGAGTACCAAATTATATTCACCACAAAACAGCATGTTTTTTTAATTCTGACCATATTTAGATTTTAATAACACAACTCTAATGACTGAAATGTGTAGTTACAACAAAGCTTCACTACTTTGGCATGAAATAAACATTTCCTAAGATTACATGCATGTGTTTTTGGTCAAAACCCAAAAAAATGAGAGAAGGAAAGAGGCAGTGAGAACCTTTCTGAGGTTATGATGGCTCAGAAAAAGTCAAAACTTTTCAAACTAAGTGTCTCCTTTAACTACAAACTTTATCAGTCACACAAGGGAACCCTCAGTGGGAAGAGATTGCTTCTGAGATGTAGCAATCAAGACATTCCTCCAAAACAGTAACCTTTCACACTAAGGAAATACTAATTCACCCATAAAAGAAAGCACATTATTAACCCATAATTAAAACAAAACACATTCTTATTACAGACTTAGCTCTCTGAACATTTTGTGTTTAAATAACTTTTCTTCCTAAAAAAATAATATATCATCTTCTTTAAGAAACTGGAATAGAGCCCTAACCAGTGTGGCTCAGTGGTTAAGAGTGTCAGCCCATGGACTAAAGGGTCCCAGGTTCAATTTGGGCTAAGGGCACATACCTTGGTTGCAGGTTTGATCCCCAGAGTCAGGGCGCGGTCGGAGGCAATCAATCAATCAATCAATGTGTCTCTCTCACATCAATGTTTCTCTCTCTCCCTCCCTCCCTCCCCCTTCCACTCTATAAAAATGCAATGTAAAAAAATATCCTCAGGTGAGGGGGAAAAAATAAAAACAAAAACTGTAAAGTACAGAAAAGCACAAAAGGGAATAAAATTTCCCACAATCCTAACATCCAGGGCCACTACTGTCAACATTTGTCCACAGCTTCCCAATGTGTTAATGCATAGGTATCATTATATACACACCATTACCATCAACCCAGATGTTCTGTTTGTATTTTCCCTTTTCCTCTCCATATTTATGAAATAAAAACACAAATTTTTAAAAACAACTGTGTTCTTTTCAAATTTACCACTCAAAGACTTAAGAAATACATGAGAATAAATTATGCAACATGGCTAAAAGTTATTACCAAAAATCAAATATTCTGGTTTTAATGTAAGTAAAATTACTAGCTTTCAAAGAATTAAGTAAGATATTTTCATCATTAAAAGATACCAAACAGGACCAGGCTGGTTTGGCTCAGCGGTTAGAGCGTCGGCCCGAGGACTGAAGGGTCCTGGGTTTGATTTCAGTCAAGGGCACATACCTCGGTTGCAGGCTCAATCCCCGGCCCTGGTCAGAGCACATGTGGGAGGCAACCAGTAGATGTGTCTCTCCCACATCAATGTTCCTCTCTCTCTCTTCCTCCCCCTTCCACTCTCTCTGAAAAGCAATGGAAAAAATATCCTCAGGTGAGGGTTAAAGAAAAAAAAAGAAACCAAACAGTTTAATTGCTCCTTAATTTGGAAGCCCCGTAAAGACTTGAGAACAGTATCATAAACATTAATTATACTATACTGCTAATGCTCAAAGGTGCCAAAAGTATGGAAACTCCTGGAGAATAATGAATAAGTATTGCTTGTACATTAAGAGAAAAGCACTTCCGCACATATCAATAGAGTATTTCTCCCTACTGAAAGAGGAATTAAACACATCGCAAGGTATCTAAGACTCATTTCCCAGAGTGTTCACTCATTTCAGTATTTTATTATCAATTAAATTAAATTTCCTTAGAATAAAGTTACTCTCAGGATAGATGCATTATAATGACAATAGCTGGGAAGCAAGCTCAAAGTGTAATCCTGAGAGAAAAGAGACAGAGAGAGGAAAGGGGAAGGAATCCAATGCACCTATGAGAGGTCACAAGTATTTGTTATTCTTAGCCTGTAGAAGGTTCCCCTGTACTAGCTTCAGACTTAGACCCTAACGGGTAGCCCAACTGCATTACCTCTGAACCCCCCACTGATTAGCACCACAAGCCCTTGATTTTGAGGACCTCAATTTAATGGACAAAAATTCCAATCCATATGTCATATGTGAAAATTAACATCCTGTTAATTTTTAAATGCTTTCAACCAAGATTTGCTTATAATTAAATAACAGGTTATTTTTTTTTGTTATTAATTCATTGTTATTTTTAACAAATTGTAGCAAACAGGCCATATGATGGAAAAAACATCTAGTTATTTCGCTGACATAAACATTACATATCTACAACTATAGTCAACATATTTAAATCTAAGAGTAAACAATTTTCAGCAAATGATTAATGCATGATCAGACCGCATCATGCTCGGTAACTGGTTCTTGTTGTCCTGTGGCATGACTTTCTGCAGCAGTTTTAATGCATGCTGGCTCATGTTCCAACATGCACTAAACCATGCTCTAGCAGTGTGGGTTTGTTTACTGGCGGTGACTGGTGATTGCATGCATTTAATAGACCAATTCAGTATAAATTTAAAATTGCAGTAATACAGAAAAATTAAACTTTTCATACTTAATTTTTTTTGTTAATCGTCACCTGAGGATATTTTTCCCTTTTTTTTAGAGAGAGAGCAGGGGGGGGGAAGAGACAGAAAAAGAGAGCGAAAAACACCTATGTGAGAAACATCGATTGGTTGCCTCCCACACATGCCCTAACCAGGGCTGGGGATCAAATTTGCAATCCAAGTATGTGCCCTTGACTGGGAACTGAACCCACGACTCTTTGGTGCGCAGGTCGACGTTCTAACCACTGAGCCCATTGGCCAAGGGCAATACATACTTAATTTTAAATACACAAACATTGTCTATATAAGTAAAGACAGGTTAACTAATTTGTCAATTATTTAGCATACACATTCGGAAACCCTACTTTATTATATAACAGGCTTTCAGCTTTAATGGACAACCCCTCGCCTGAATTAGTCCATTATATCAAGGCTTTATTGTACCTTCAAGTATTGCCTCTTTACCCCTTGTCACAGTCAGGGCTAGATATTATTTCTGTACTGGAGACAGTGACTCTGATACTCAAGAGGGTCAAAAACAAAAGCTGTTCTAAATAATTTAGAGTGGTGAATTTCAGTGAAATCTGATCAAAGTTGACTGATAAACAGGAGACTGAGTTTGTCTACTAAAGTTTACA